AATATCTGATAAATGCTATAATATTAATGGTAATGATATTTGGGGCGGCTTTATCAAAAAAGCTTTATGAAATACAAACATTTCCATTGAAATAAAAATATATTGTGTAAGTTTGTCAAATTGGCTAATGGTTGACAATTTCTAGAATACATGAAGGTATATCAAAAAACCCTGAAGGAAGAAAAAAAAAACACATGTTTGATGCTATGAACTACCCAGAAATCTATTTCTGTTTGACCTAAATTACTAATTCTAGATTTAAAAACTACTTTGGATTCCAAAATCTAAATTATTCAAGATGTGGGGCACCTGGGTAGCTCAGTGGGTTGTGTGTCTGCCTTCGGCCGTGATCCTGGGGTGCTGGGATCAAGCCTCGAGTCCAGGCTCTCTGCTCAGCAGGGAGTCTGCTTCTCCCTCTCCCTCTGCTCCTCCCGTGTGCTCCTGCTCTCTCTCTCTCTCTCGCCCTCTCAAATAAATTTAAAAAAAAAATCTTAAAAATAAATAAATAATTCAAGATGTGTTTTTTAAAGTGTTTTTGAATGACAGCAAATTTAAAAATCTCGTATTATAAGTTTTCTTTTCCCTTGGGCATTAAAAATGTAATCTGTACTTTTACATTTCTTGCTTTATTTTAGCAAAGAGGAGATCAAAGGAGTCCTCCCTAAGATGTTCTAAATTGAGAAACCATTTTCTAGTATCTAATGAAAATCAGACCGATTACTTAATATTAACTGTGTATATGTGTAAGCTTCTATTGCTAGGTCCCTCAAAGTGTGTGTGTATGTGTGTGTGTGTTACCTATTCCAACACAATCTAGAGCTAAAATGGTTCTTATTTCTTTACAGTTCCAGTCTTCTAGTGGACAGTCTGTTTTGTCCTATAGAAACTTTTCATTCAATGAATAATTCAGACTCAAACTGCATATTGGTAACTATATTTTAAACCAAAAAAATTCCTCACATAATAAATACATTTTATGCACATTAACTTCAAATTTACTTCAGAAAGCTATTTACAATATAAATAATTATAAATGGGAACACTTTGCAAGATATCATTGACATAGCTAATATCTTCTACTTTACATTCCAAAGGAAAAGTTCAAATTACAGATTTATACTACGATGTCACTAAAAACTATACATTGCAAGATGGTATTTGAAATATTGGCAATCAGTATCTTCTTTCACAAATATAATCCTTTTTATAGCATGTCAGTCAAAAAACAAACATAAAATATTTTTATCTTTTTTGAAATGCCTACTCATAAGTTTCACTTTTTGAAATATTTCCCTTTGGAAAAAAACGGAAAAAAGTTACAGTACTTCTAAAAATTTTTCCACGCCAATTTCATTTCTTTTGAAATGTAAACACACCAGGGTTGTTGGTGTAAATTCAACTGTGATTAAATGTGTTCCAGATCAGCAAATTAGGACAAACTCTCCACTGTATAGGTATATGAAAGCAAAGTCCCATGCAGCAAAATTGCAATAAATAAAATAAAATTTCTTGTGTGAACCATCGGTTTTTAAGGAGCACAGCGGAACAGAATCTTGTTACTTGCTTGACAACTGTGTGTGTGTGTGTACACACACACACACACATACACACACACATATAGCCTCTCTGCGTACAGCCCTAGAGAAGGAACTCTGAACAAACCCATATTTGAATATGAGCACAATATCACTTTTTGAGTTAAGCACTACCCGTACAACTCTTGTGCACAAGAAATGAGCACCACATGGTAATTTCCCCCAAGAACATTTTCTACGTAAGATACCCTTTGCATGTGTCCATAGTTGTTCTGTCATTCATTTAAAGTTTAGAATGATCTTTTATCCACAATGCATGTCCCAGTAAGAACTAACCAGTAGCTTCTGCTGTCTTAGAGTCAGATCCCTATTCACAAAAACTGACATTTACGTGAAAGTTGAATCACTTATTTGGAGAGCCATTGAATTTACATTCTTTAAATCATTCAGTAAATAGAATGTCGATCTATGTTCTATGGTTTGAATGAACTGAAGAACCAAATCTGGGCATTCAAACTTGTTTAAATCAAAGAAAGTATATTAAAGTGGAAGCTATTCCACTGGGCAAGGTAAGTAACCCCCAGATAACCAAACCCTCCGTTTTCCAAATATTGGCATTCACTCTGTCACTTCCAAATACTACTAGTACTAATAGAAATGTACTGAATATCTTAGTAACATCCTGCTCTTGAGAGGCAGAGAGAGCTATAAAAAACATACCTGTCTTCAGAATGTCTCTTTAGCTGCAGTGTCTTCTAGCAAACTTATTTGGTCTAGGTCTTGTGGGGTAAAAAGCCTTTCATTTTATTTTAAGATAACTATGCATATTTTCCAAATGATCTTTTATTGGATAGATCTTTATCCCCCATTTAAAAAAGAAAAGAAAATGGAGCATATTATCCTTTTCTGGAAGATCCCATTAAAGCTTATTTTAAGTGGGATTCTCTGCCCAAAGGCACCATGTGGCAGCAGGGCGTAGAGAGAATTAAGAATAGTGCCCAATGGAAATATTCTAGCCCTATAAAATATAATCAAGAGAGAATGAGTGGGTTTTCTGTATAAACGCTGAAAGCTAATTACTTATTGCATCCTGTCTCATTTTGAATGTCACATCAGCACTGCATCATATTATCCTAGATCAGGCAATTACAGTTTAGAAAAGCTAGCCAATTATATTCAGCATAGTATGTCAAAAGACTTGTGAAACTGAAGGACACCTAAATGTCTGACCTGTAGTGATTAGGACATTAATAGTATGCACCCAAAAATAATACATCAAATCTGTATATTCTCAATAGTTTTAATAGAATTTTCTCAAGGAACATTGGGGAAATATTTATTTATTTATTTGGTCATCCAAATTGGTAAATTAGGTATGACAGGTAGGTAAATGGGCAATAAAGATATTCTTACTATTACTAGAAAGCATGAACTTTGTATCATCTAATGAATTGCTACATATTATACTAGCAACTGGATATAGCACATTTTTATGAATCCCCAATGTGATATAAAAATCATACTTCTCTATTTCAATCTAGTATCATGATTCTCAACATTTAGCAAAGTTATGGAAATCAAGGATTAAAACTAAAGCCAATTTAACTTTAAGTTATTGGTAACATGCACATTTTACATCCCATATTTTAAAAAGACACAGATGACATCTTCATTATGAGGAAATATGTTCCTGGACAGAACAAGATAATGTAGATTATAAATACATTTTAATACATTTTTGTGCATATTAAAAAGGTACTTTGTCATAAACTGTCTCATCTTATTTTGGGGGCATTTTGTAATAATCATGCCACATTGCCAAAAATGTAAGCTTATAATACTGTGGGCCTGTAAGGCATTATATGTAATGTAATAAATCTGCCACTATAAAATTATTGACATGTAAATTAAATAAATGGTTTGTATTTAAAACTGAGTCAGCCTACCAAAATTTTTAATTAGGATGTAATGTAGTTACTTCTGTCTTCACTTAAAAATATTGGTCATACCACCTTACAGGGCTTTATTTCTTCTGATTACCCCTTATTTGTAGAGTTCATAATTTATTTTTTGCCAATTAACTATCTGCCATTTTAAGATTTCACTGAAGTCTCTTCAATGACATTCTTTTCTTTCATATCAGTTCCTTTTCCTTGATTCTGAAGATTCTATTTATTTTATAGCATCTGTCCCTGACATTTTTGGTAGGATGTATATCCATCAGTAAAACCCATCTGTATAGATTTCCTTTCCAAAATACACCATATTCTTCAGATGTTTGTGTCTTTGAACCATTAACCCACCTACAGAATTCCCCAAAAAGTTTAGCATTCCTAAAACCTGACTTCGTGTTTCAAATTGATCAAAAATCTATTTTAAGTATTCCAGGGGTTTTTAATGAGTATTTTTCTCAAAGTCACTGAACACTTTTGCTTCTGTGGTTTAACATGTAGTTTTTCTTGTTCTTTGAACTTTTTTGAAAGTATATATGATAACTACTAACTTTCTCACTTGCACTTTTTCCATTTATGACACAAATGTCGCTATGTCATACCCAAGAAATACTTATTTAATTTCATGTCACCTCTTTTGTCATATACAAACGACCCCCTCTTCATCTCTCAGACTATCATCATTCAGATTGTCACCTGCCTATAAACTGCCAAATAACCGTTAAGTGATGCAACTAGAGTTCTAATCCCTGAGTGTCAGTGTCATGTTCTGTCTTGAAAATCATGAGTCCGTTTCTTCCAAAACATTCCCCTCCTTGCAGATGGCAAGAGTTGCAGGCATGGGGCGCCTAGAAAAGACTGCCTAAGAAACTTCTCTAATCATTTGTGTCACTTTGCTTTGATTACTAGAGACTAGTGCATGAAATAAATTGTCCTCATTTTCCTACTCCCTCATCAGTTTCTACCATCTACATTCTGGCTGGACCAGAAAGTTGACTGTAACTACACATGCCTAAAAGAGCCCATGCACCTGCTGAAGTTACAAAGGACCTGGACCTCTGCAGGAGTGCAGACAAGCCAGAATGATCGGTCTTGACAACTGACAGCAGAGAGTTAACTGGTTAACAAGTGTAGTTCTGTCGCACCGATGATCCACAGAACCATGGCAAGTCAGAACGGCCATACAGACAAAGAAACTAGGGCCCAGGCACGGTGAGTGATACATCGATATTCCCAAACTAAGTTATAGGCGGGGTCAGGACTGGAACCCAGAGATCTTGCTTTCTAGTCTGCTGGTTTTTCTACCGTTATCACCCGAACTTAAGACCAAGTTTGTTGTTTTTGTCATTCACAGACAATAAGGAAAACGAGCGCTTTGCGTGTTCCTTCAGTTGAAGTAACTCTTACCCTTTTAACCACTTGTCCATCAGCCCGAGCTTTTATCTTAGGCTCTCTCCTGAGGCTTTCCACATGTTGTCGCATTTGCACATTTGTGCTCTGAAATGTTCTCACACTGCTGCCATATAGCCCTCCATTGGCTTTCCTTAGTTCTTTCTTGCACTTAGCAGCCTTTTTTCTTGGTGAATCGGTTTGAGTTTTTAATTTGGTTGGTTTTATAGCCCGAAATATGTTGATTACATATTCGGAGGCTTAAATTGTTTGTGTTGAGATATCATTTCATTTCTCTCTGTCTCTGGCCTTTCCATCTTTACTAAACTATTTCCAATTGGGCATGCCAGATTTTTGATGTGTGTCCCAACATCTCGGTGCTTTTACTTAGAAAACCCTTACTGCTATGTCAGTGTGATCCTGTTCCTTGTCTAACTCAAAAATAAAGTGAAAAATCACCACTTCCTGATTGCTTAAAATGGATACCAGGTGGAAACTCATTCTTGTACCATGCCCAGAACCATTTCCCTAATTTATGCCTGAACCAAATGAGCTGACTGGTTGAAATCACAATGAAGAAACCAGTTTACAAGATGTATCTCTCTCTTTCTTAGTTATTTTAGGAATGGAAATTTCTTTAATAAGCTTAATGTGCTAGGGTTAAGAAAACTTACCCATTTGTGGGTTGTATTTAAGGTATATAGTTGACATTTCTGCATGTAAAGTGTACATAGCAGTTTGTGGATAAGTGGTCTGTGTGTATGAGGTTTACATCACAATGCAATACTGTCTTCTACCAGTCCTTTCATGTGGTATATATGCTCACTTAATCTACAAGAGTACTTTTCAATTCAAAATTTATCTATTCTGGTTCCATATAATTAGATGGGCAATTTATGTATTCATTTTAACTACATTGTCTGTGTGTAACCCTGAATGCTAGTGCTCTTTGATTTTGCAGGAACACATGTCAAATATCCAGTAACTTAAATTATCCTCTCTAACCATCTGTGGCATAGTAAATGCTGGTAATGGGGCATTAAACTATAAATATGTTTCAGAGATCCTTAAAGAACAAAATATTTTAGAAAAACATCAGCTTCCATTGGTTATTATAACAGATGTTCCCTTGTGTCCTTGTGCCGGGTCTGGCTGCATCCTTAGATGGGAAGTTACATCAAAGTGTGAGCCATTACAGCCCAAGGAATAGTTTCTAATGGTTTCACTGTCATATAAGTGCTCCAGGGCATATCCAGTTAATGTGTAAGCATGCTTATCAAAATACTGCCGGTGAGAACCAAAGCAGTTTGGAGAGACGGCAGGATGGTCTCCCGCTGTCTGATGTGGAGACATATCCGAATGTAGATAGTCTTTAGCTAGGATCAAACTGGATTTTGAAATGCGATCCGAATTGGGACTACTTATTCGAGACAGTGCAGTGGGACTGTTGTCATAGTCATTTTCGTGGGGGCTCAGCATCTTTCCCTCTCTCTGCTGGATGTGGTCACATGGTGAAGTGTTGGCAAGAGCCGAGCTGTGGCAGACATCCCCTGTTGGCGGGGGCTGTTGGTAGTTTGTAAAACAGAGGGAGTGTTTTTTCCCAGCTCCATTAATGGAAGCCAGTTGGTCTGGGGGGGCTTTCCTTAGCTGCAATCTGTTCTCTTCTTCTTTAATCATTTGCTGGGTGGCTCTTATCAGAGTTTCAATTTTGCTAGGCTCGTGTGGGCTACTTTGATACTGCTCAGTGCGGTATCGGTCACCTGATTCGCTGGCAGACCCAGGGTCTGGAGAACTGACCACACTATCTTCATCCCAATGACCTCGCCCTAGAAATTAGAAAAAGTAAAAAGTAAGTGGTCTCAAAATTCATCCCCAAAACTGTAAGTGTGTTTCTTTTTCCTATTAAAAGAAACATTTATCTTTCATTTTTAAATGTATGCACCAATATTTGAAACAGACACAGGCTCACATGACAAAGCGTCAATATATCGTACTGGCATTCCTAGTTTTCAGTGGCTTTTAAGTGCAGATGAAGTTTATCACAAGTTTTTTAGAAGGTAAACCTTGCCCGTAGGTCCTGGATGCCAATTAACAAAATGGTAGAGTGTTTATACTTCTCCGTGTATGCATATAGTTGGACCTGTCTGACTGTAAATAATAATAAAAGAAAAATGCATAGCATTTGGTTTATGATCCTTTCTAGAGAAATGTTACATTAAACTGATGCTTTGAAAATGCCTTCCATTGGGTTTGAGGAAGACAATGATGGAGACTGGACTACTTTCCCAATTCCAAATAAATCATCTAAAATGTTAAAATTATTAAGTGTATCATAAGTAGAATTACAATAAAGCTCTAGTGTTAGTTTTAAAACTATTTGAGGGTTCAATATATATATATTCATAAATACATATATATGTATATGTATGCATGGATATATATATCTTGTCCCAATCAAAAATATAAATACTGTCTCCTCAAATCTAGAGATATAAATCTCAGTTTTACATATACTCATATGGTAATTCTGGTATCTTAGTTTCTGAAGGTGAAGAATAAATAAATACTTAAAATGTTAATAACAATCTGTTCTGAACCCAGGAGAGAGATCTAATACAGAGGAACAATGCATCCAAAATATTCCATAAGCTGTATTATTCTTAAAGCAGTGTGAAGTCAATATAAAAAGGGAAAGGAAAAGCAGGAAGGGACATATGAAAGCTGTAAACTGCTTAATGCAGAAGAGAAGCCCTGGATCACACTATTCATTGCTTTCCTTTTTCTCTTTCTTCTTATTTTATTTCTAATATTTTCTTCCAGACTGTGTAGGTTAAGCCAGGATTTTCGCTTCACTCCATTCTTTGGCAAGCAATTGCCCTTTGCCCTGGGTTTCCATTACCAGTCTACCATACTGAAGAAACTCAAAGCAAAAGTAAAAAAATAAAAAGCAAAAACAGAAACAAATTAAAATCCTTCGTGGAAGGCCGTCAGTGCCTGGGTGGTATCTGACAGAGACCATGGATGAGTACAACATTGTCTAGCCCATTTCCCACCCTAAAGATCCAGCAAGAAGAGTAATATCACCCTGTTCAATCAATCTTAATGTCACTGACTTTTAATGAAACAGGGAGGGTGTCAGAGACCTGCCCGGACCCAAGCCTGGAATGGACAGAACGGGCTCTCCTTCACCAGTTTACTTTGAAATGAACAAATAAGAGCATTACTGGACTAAAGGCTTCAACCACAGTGCCCGTTTCTATGTGGTCATAGAACTGTATAATAATCCCAAGGTGAAAATTTCCATGGGTTCTATATATCACTCCATCTTTCACCCACAGAAGACATTGTGGGTTGTCATAATAATGGGGGAAGGGGGTGGTTACCAGTATTTAATGCCCAGAGGACCAGGAGGGTTAAACCACCTATGAAGTGAGTGATAGACCATAAAGCAAAGCCTGGACTCCCCAACAGGTCAGTGGGGCCCTCATTGAGAAGCATTACTAAATGAGCCCCAAAACTACAGGGGTCCACTTTTGAACCATCAGAATACAGAAGAAAATCATGCACAAGAAATTTAAATGCATACATATTACAAGTTCAATAGACTTACTCAACAATTGACTTTGACTTAATATCTATACTTTTTATGATGTTTACAATGGGAATCATTTTTACTCACATGTCAAAAATAAATGCATGTGGCAAGCATGAGCAAAATTAATACACTTAAAAAGAGTGGATGTGGTTTGTAAAATCCCACTGGTGTGAGTTCCTGATTTGTCAATTCAAAGGAGAAAACCACTGGCTTGTTCCCTCCAGTGTCAAACCTAGAATCTTAGAGACCTGCCCAGGGGCCCAATGCTGCCAGCTCAGGACTCATTTCAACTGCCCTTACCGTGGATCCTGTGGACGGAAGCGATGTGAGGCATGCTGTTTTCATAGGCTTCTCTGCTTTCTGGGGAAGACTTGGTCAGGGGCAAGGCTGCGCGAGAGCCCCACCAGGGCTCCCTCCCGGCCTGCGGCGTTCCCAGGAAGTACCTGCCTGCCTCACACCGGCCGCCCTCGCAGGCCTGGGTGTGGAAGTGCCTCTCCTCCACCAGCCTGGAATGGTCCAGCGCAAAGCCGTAGCACAGAGAGCTGCGGTCAGAGAACTGTCTATAGGCGCACGACGCATCATGCTGAGAGCCGGGTCTCTCCGCGGGGTCCAGGAGCTGCGGAGAGGCTGTGTCGGTCAGGGGACTTCCACCCCACTGGCTGTCGTGATCAGATTCAGATCTTTCCGTGTGGAATCCCGAATACTGAAACCAAGAGAGTGAGAAAAGTACATTTAACAACAACAACAACAAAAGCACCACGATGGTCACGTGAGCTTTAAGGCACCAAAATAAGCTCTATAAACTCTAGCACCACGCTGGGCACCCCTGACTTGGAACCACTTAATCAGTCATGGTGCCTCAAAAGAAAATCCTTTTGGCTGCTGAAAGGAGGTAAACATGATACCAGAGATGGAGGAACTAAATAGCAGGCTGCAGAAGCGCTTCACGTGAGTGACTTCACGTAGTTCCTCTATCAACCCTTTAATGAAGAGATTAGTAACCCATTGCATGAAGAGAGAAACTAAGGCCCAAGAGAGAAAATTATCTGCTCAAGGCCACAGGTGAGCAGGCGGCAGAGGCAAGATACAAACCCAAGTCCTCCGTCACTACCCACAGGGTATTGCCAAAAGGAGAGTCCAAGAAAGCTCTATATTTTATTCCAATTTGCTGTTCAGATTTCTTTTTCTTAATTTAAAAACAAGACAAAAATAAGGTTTAAGGCCCAAAGTGCTACATCTTCACTCTTTATACTAGGCTGGTAACTCTCTGAGGGCCATGTTAATAAAGGCTTAACTAATTCAATGGCAATACAATGGTTAAAAAGACTTGCCCATATAGGCTGAACCTACTCACTAGGAGGCCTTTCTTGCTTCCCAAAGTAAAACTTCAAGTATGCACAGGCTCATAGGACAAAACAGCTGCAGGCAACAATGTGCCTTGCTGGAATCACGCTGCTCACCTGTTGCCAGAGTTATTTGATCTGGTATTGAAAGAAAACGCAAAAGGTTTAGCAGACCTCCCTAGGAGGTATGCTCAGTTTGAAGTTCCTCACGAGCCACTCAAATTAGTAACATAATTTCTACCAGTTTTTGGTTAGCTAACTAAGGCTAAACACAAGTCTAGGTACCATACAGAGATTACCTGCTATGATAATCACAGATGCCATTTATTGAGAACTTACAGTGTGTCTGGCAGTTGCTAACCATGGTACATATATCATATCACTGAATCCTCACAACCCCCTGGACTGTAACATATCTCCATTTTACAGATGGGGAAACTGCATCACTGAGAGTTTTAATAAGATGGTATGGCTACCCCGCAGTCTATCTGGCTCAAAGCCTGCACTCCAACCTTGATTTTACACTCAAGGGAAAACACTGTCAAGGAAGAGCGGAGAGAGAAAAAAAAGGATCCAGTGTTAGAGACATTTCCAGAAAAGCGGCAGGGACCAAAATACAGTCTCTGGAACCAAAATATGAGTCCATTACCTTTTCTTTCTTATCCCAGAAGAAAGAGGGATGGTGCTGGTGGTGCTGTGGGGGGCCCAGGAGAAATTCAGGCAGCTCTATCTAGGGGCTCTTAGAGCCAGAGAGATGAGGTGCAGAGGTTCCTCTGGGGGAACTCCAAAGTATGCCAATAACATAGCATGTTCAGGAAGGAGTTCTACACAAATTCCAAGCTCGAGATCTTTCTGTTACCACATCTCATTATTACTTTAATTATTTTCCAAATGTACATATGGACTATCAGTATATTCCACCAAAAAAAAAAAAATAGTAAATGCAAATTCTCTCCCTGCGGAACTGTAAGATGAGCACCATAACGTATCCCGAGTGCCATTTCCCTACATCACACCTCCACATGCCATCGGCCTTTTCTCCCCGTGAACACCAGCCTCTCATTTTATAAGACACCACCTTCACTTTCACCAAGTGAACGTTGGCACCCCCTTCCTTATCGAGGGGGGATCAGAGTGCTATACACTTGCCCTTTGGTAACACCATATGTGCACCTGCCTGGGAGAATTTCAGCTCATCAGTGCTCTTCCAAGCCAGGAATTGCCCAGGCTCTGCTTGTTTTGATAAAAGTATAAACCAGGCCTATTTCTGAAGTGCTCCAGTCAAGACTTTTGAGCCTGTTGAGAGTGAAAAAGCTTTCCCTGAGTGTGTATGGGAAAGTGCTATTGGCGCAGCAGAGAAGAACATTCTGTCCTTGGCTCACAAAGAAAATTCAACACAAGGCAACCCTGGCAGACATGAGGTACACGTCTCAAGAGCACCCAAAGAAGAATTTGATGGATAAGCCTCTTGTCAATAGTCAGGAAACTATAACAGCAAGCACACTGCCCTTAAAGCAGGCGGAAGTTGGGTGGTTGAGTTAGACCAAGAAGATTGGTACAGAGGAAAAGCCTAGATGCAAACCTTTGTTTTTCAAGACCTGTAAACTTGCACCTGTGTGTACCATCAATCCTCTGAACCACATTCACCTCTTTAAAATGAATTGCACTGGATGTAAACTTTGTTGAGAACCCTATAGATCCATACATTGATCTGAAAAATTTCAGGTGTTCATCAAGTCTTAGAGGCAAGAGAGAGAGCAGAAGGGAAGGCGGGCAGCTGATACATGCAGACCGTGCCATACAATCAGTGACTGCTGCATAAGAAGGCTCCTGGTCTTCCTCACACCTACCTTTGCTGCTTACTACATAAACAATCTTGGGCAAGTGATTTAATTTCTTTTGTACCAACAGGAAAAGGGTCGTGATGGTACTTAACCTACCAAAGGCCAAACCAGAATGGGGGCCATTTAACAGAAGAGGAAATAGGGACAGGAAGCCAAGAGAACCTGGTTCCAGGTCCACCCCTTCTAGTAACTCTCAGGGTAACCTTGGGCAAATTACTTTACCTTTCTTAGCCTCACCTATAGAATGATACATTGGATTATATTAGATGCTCTCTAACTTTTCTTTCAGCTTTAAAATTCTATACGATAGAATCATTATTTGGTATCATTTCTAGTGTTGAAACATAGGATTCCTATGCCTGCCTTTATATTTCATTGATTTAAAGGAGATAAATTATTTAGAACTATAATCCAAGTCCAAGAATGTTTATTGTCATGGTTATAAAAAGAAAGTTGTTATGTAAGTTTTATTTTACTATTATGTAAATTTTTCCCCAAGTGTCCCCTTACAGCACAAGTTTTATAGGGACTACATGATGTCTTTTGGTCAATAAATTATTATATTCTAGAGGCTTCTGGCAGGATAATGGCAGCCATTTGAATCTGTACCTCTTCACAAATCCTAACCCTAGAACAAAGAGCATAAATGGAATCACCCATGACCCATGCTATCGGCATTACTGGGAGGTAGAGAGTATGCTAAATTTCAATTTATGAAAAATAAAAATAAAAAGTCAAACAGCAAACACTATGAACCTGTGGGTCCAGAGAGTAGGGTAAGGGCAGGTATAAGAGACTCCAAGAGAGAGACAGAGACAGATGGGAGAGAGAGAGAGAAGTCTGAGAGAGAGAGAGAGAAAAGTTTAGGACAAAGGTAAAACAGACAAAATTGGCCACAGAAAGAAAAAAATACACCACAAGTAAGTGCCAAAATAAGAACAGAAGTCAGTGTCTGGTAGTTCACGACACTGGCCACAAGGAAAAGGCTTAAAATCAAGCAAAATCTAAGGTAGCAGCCTGGGACAAGAGTCATTTTCATAAGAGAAAAATGTAAATCGAGAATGGGTTGTGTCCATAGAAGAGAGAGCATGAAAGGAAAGAAGGAAAAGGGGGAAATTAAGGATCCAAAAGACAGGAAAGAAAAACAAAAGACAGGTGAACCCCTTCTTTCCTCTCTACCCCCTTTCTACCACCATTGTCATCCATTTACACAACCGTATTTCACAAAATTGACAAGATAGGGTGCTCTTTAAATAGTAACCCAACCCATGAAATGCTAAGGAATAGGGGAAAAAATTAAACTCGCTATAAAACTCCTGTAGGAAAAAAAAATGAAATGGAAATACGATCATCTCAGCTGATAAAAATTCTCATCAAATAAGCCACTACTTCACAAAGGAAAGTTGTAAGACAACACACCAACCTAAAATAAGTACCTTCAACAAGCACACACGACATACCTGGGTGCACACACTCAGAACCAGAAGTTTTAAAACTAAGAAATGGACCCAAAAACCCCACCCAACAACAACAAAACAGGAAAAAATGCAGTGAAAACTGACCAAACTCATAGAAATTGAATAAGTGAAGAATAAATTACAAGTTGTGAAAAGGGTACAGATTTGAATGAACATTTAATGAGGGAAATTGAAGATAAGCTGGAAAACATGTAAGGATACAAAAATTGGATAGAGAGGGGTGCCTGGGTGGCTCAGTCATTAAGCATCTGCCTTAGGCTCGGGTCATGATCTCAGGGTCCTGGGATCGAGCCCCGCATCGGGCTCCCTGCTCAGCGGGAAACCTGCTTCTCCCT